TCACAAAAAAGTTTACACTTTGAATTAAAAAAACAAAATTAGGGGTAAATTGTGCTTCAGTGCTAGCAATATTGCACTTCCCTCAGTTTGTTAGTTGTTCCCATTGAGTTAGTTCTGACTCATAGCAAACCCGTGTGTTGTAGAGCAGAATGATTCGATGGAGTTTCCTTGGGTGTAACCTTTCTGGAAGCAGGACATTATGCCTTTTCTTTTGATGGTGCTGCTGGGTGGGTTTGAACTGTCAACCTTGAGGTTAGTAGTTGCTTTAGATGGTGTTATCTAGAGAAACAAAACCAGTGACACTCATGTGTATTAAAAAGAACTTTATATAAGAAGTAATTTTATATCAAGAAGCCCTCCCAGCTCAGTCCAACTCAAGTCTATGGGCCCCATGCTGGCCGGACCCTCTTCAGACTCAGCTGTAGGTTGATGATGCAGAAAGATGAGGCAGGAAGCAGTGAGACCACAGGCTGCTGGTGCAGAGTAGGGTGGACCCAAGGTCAGAGGGAACATGGCAAGGTACCGGGAACTCCCAGGTTGGCTCCCAGAGTTAGTGGCCCATGGAGGCAGGCATAGAATTCCAGTAAGCAGGGAGGGTCCAAGGAGCAGAGAGAGCAGTTCTCACTGTCTATTAAAAGGCCATCCTCCAAACCAGGCTACCACCTGATTGACAGGTTACATTCTACCCCTACCTGCCACAGTAGTTAAAGGCACACCTTTTGTGCCACCCAGAGAACTATCTGTTAGCTAGTGCACTAAGAAACATGCTTCATCTGGTAAGAGTGATAGAAAAATCTGAAGCAGGTCATGGATGTTTTCTTGTCAGGTACAATAGAAGAAAAAATTTACCAGAGGCAAATCAGCAAGCAAGGACTCTCTGGGGCAGTTATGGACCTGACCAAGACATCTGAACATATTCAATTTTCAATAGAGGAACTTAAAGATCTGTTCACCTTCCATGAAAGTTCACAGTGTGTTACTCATGACCTGCTTGACTGCGAGTGTACAGGAGAAAAAGCACATACAGGTGAGTTATATCTTATTCCTACTGCCGTTGCAGTTAGCTTGTCTCTTCTAAATTCTATCTAGGCAGTTCGCCTCATAGCGACCCTGTGTGCACAGGAACAAAGCACTGCTAGATCCTGCACCATCCTCACAATTGTTATGTGGGAGCCTATGAAAGCACCCACCATTTGGACTGTCGTCCTCTTTTTCACTGCCCTTCTACTTCTTCAAGCATGAAGTCTTGCCATCCTTGCTTCTAAGGAGCATTCTGGTTGTATTTCTCCCAAGACAGATTTGTTTGTTCTTCTGGCAGTTCATGGTACTTTCCTTATTTTTCTCCAGCAGTTAACAATATTTAAACACAGAATAATCAAATTTGTTTACCGTTTACATGTTAGGGTTCTTTTTTCCTCTGGTCACCGCGCAATTGCCAGATGGATATTTGAGAACATGTGACTAGAACCTTACTCAGATATAAAACTCACTGCCATTGAGTTGATTTTAACTCATAGCAACCCTGTAGAACAAAGTAGAACTGCTTCTTAGGATTTCTAAGACTAAATTTCTACAAAAGTAGACAGCCTCATCTTTCTCCCACTGACCAGCTGGTGGGTTTGATCTGCTGACCTTATCTCTAAATTTGTTGTGAAAATTTCAACTTGTTTAGGAGCATGTTTTCTAGG